ACATTTGCATGGGAAATTTCAGTTGAATGTGTAAAGGAATAAATTCACCAAAGTCCAGTGGATAAATGTACACTAATATTTACAACATTTTGAATAGGGCTATCAGATTTGAGCTGTGAACATCCAGGTAATTACTGTACAAAATAGCAACAACAAAGAGAGATCTTTAACTACAAGGGTTGTCTTGAGTTTTGCAGCCCATATTTGATAGCCCAAATATTGAAACCTTTGCTCTTAGGATTCCTAACATACCTTTGGTAAAAGTAGAAGGGAGAATAACTTTTCCATAATAATTTGCATAGTTATATGGAAATACCTATTTTGCTCTTTTCGCTTCTTTCCAAAGGGAACCAGCATTTTAATAATACTGATTTATTGTGTAACATACCATTACACAACCTTATATTCTGAGATGTATTATTGGATATTGGCAACAAATAGAAAAGGACAATGCAAATGAGTTTGAAAAGCAATGTTGTCTTACATATCTCTATTCAAACGTCCACAAAATTGTACTAAAGAGTATTACTCTGGATTAGTTTTTAAAATTTTTACAAGGAAGCATACTGAAAGTATTTCAGCCCAGCAGCATGTTTTATTTTTAAAAAATTAATTTTTATACAGAAAGGCTTTAGTATGTCAAAGACTCTTTTTTCCCCGTGAGCTGATCTGGATGTCAGATTTTCATTTGCTCTCAGTAAAAGCACATTCATTCTATTGAAACAGATATAAAAGTTAAAAATGAAATTAAAAACCAGCCTAAGAATATCAATTCTTCAAGACACAAGGCCCACTGGAAAAAGCTTTCATTCTCTGAAGCTTCTAGAGATCCAGGTAGCCTTGCATTTAATGCCATTCTTATAACTTGATTCTTGCAGCCTCAAAGCAAATGGGTTTACCGCCACTCCCCTGTGCAGCTTTCACACGATATAAATTCATTCGATTTCATACTTTCCCTCTGTTTCTTTGTGAAAATACTGTCCCTCTGTTACTTTTTGGAAACACTGTTTCCCTGTCTGTTACATTTTGGAAATCCCGTCCAAAAACAAACTATATTAAATGCAGCAGCAGCAGCAGCAGCAGCAGCACTGAAACGAGAAGGAGTTACATTTTACATCAAGCGGCTGGAGGCGCTGCGAGCTCAGAATTGGAAGCGAAAACCCAGGCGAGAAAGGATAGCACTTACTGAAAAGGATGGGGTGGGGTAAGCGAAGAATTACTGGCGAAGTCTCCTCTTGTTTTTCCGCCTCTTCTAGACAACTCTTGTAGAAGTCCCGCCGGGGCATTTTGGATTCTTCCTCTCCAGCTAATTAAAGCGAAGTGTGAGTGCAAGACATTTTCAACCCACACCTACAAGCGTTGCTTTTGCAAGCCTAAGAGAGTTTTTTTTTTTTTTAAAGGATAAGAGACAAATTTCGGTGTTGTCGGTGGCGTCAAACCCTCCTCCTCCTCCTCCTCTTGCTCCAATTTTCCCATTCCAAGGCCAGTTCCGAGCGCAGGTTTGGTGCTCTTCCAGTAATAAGGAGCAAGGGCGTGATAAAAACGGCGCCACAATTATCCCGGCTTTGTCTGTTCTGCGACCGGCAATGCTCCCTGCAGCTTCGAGAAGCCGGCAATTCTCACCCCTGTCAGTGGCCTCCTCTCGTTCCACTTCCTGTCCCCCCCTCCCCACCGAAAAAAGCGCCTGTTGCTGGTGCCATTTGCGTCCGCAACCTCCGTTCAGCCTTTCGCTTTGCCTAATGCCTCTAAGGCGCTCCTTCCTCTCCCCATCGCGTCTACAGCTGTGGGAAATCCGGACTTCTCAGAACCAGGAGTAGCAGGAGTGAGTTAAAACAAGCGGGACAGAGGAAATCACAGCAAAACACTCCCGCCAGTCATGGCAGGGATGATCAAGACAGCTGGTTTTTTTCCTTCTGTAATGAAGGAAGTGAGAGAGATAATTCCCGCTAATGGCAAAGCCGGAATTGGGTAGTTTATATTTTAATCTGCGAATCAAGCTGTAGAAACTTTCCCCGCTTTTTGCTCTTCGGGAACCAACTGCGTCTCTCTCCCACGACACCCAGCTTCATCAGTCAAGGAAATATGTACCTGAAAGTCGATGGCACTTCTCAGGTCATCCCTGTCACGGTTGTCCCAAAAGTGGCTTTTTCAAGAGGCAACTGGGCTTTCTGGTTTTTCTTTGAAGACGTTTTGCTTCTCATCCAAGAAGCTTCTTCAGCTCTTTAGAAATTAACTTCTTGGATGAGAAGCAAAGAAAAACCAGAAAGTTCAGTTGCCTCTTACCTTTGTGATATGTCCCTGAAACTGATGGTTTTTCTTGATCCAAAAATAAAAGCTATACTCAGATGAAGTATGAATGATATATCTATAGAACAGTGTTTCTTAACCTTGACAATTTTAAAATGTGGGGACTTCAACTCCCAGCAATGCTTGGTGGGAGATGTTGGGAGTTGAAGTCCTTGAAGTTGCCAAAGTTGAGAAATATTGGTGCAGAAGTGGAGTTGTAGAGTTCTACAAGAGTCACAATTTCCTCTCCCTTTTCCTTCTTTGCTCCTGCAAGGGAGATTTATCAAGGCAAGGTGAGAAAGAACCACCAGCCAGTAAAGTCCAAGCCTCTGCATATCTGGATATTTTCCTCTGAATGTTTCCATTTCTGAGGCATGTCAAAAATGGGCAAAGGCTGCATCTCTTTGGGTTTCCTTGCCCATTTTCTGGGAAACTAGAAGAGAAGATTGGCTTACTATTCTTACTATGGTCATCTGTGCTGTCCCACCAGTTGGGATAGGCATAAACTTCTAGCTCTTTGTAACATTGTAGAACCAATCTTAGCAATCTTTCAGACTCATGGACTTCAACTCCCAGAATTCTCCAGCCAACATGGGGAATTCTGGGAATTGAAGTCCACAAGCATTAAACTTGCCAAGGTTGGACATCCCTATTGTAGAGGCTTTTTCCTTGCCACCAATTTCTAGCATCTTCTCGTGTTAGCCAACTCACCCTGTTCTGGATAAATTTATAATAGTCTTTCAATTGCTTGCCACAAGAAAGGTCAGGTCACACTAGTACACACTATAAAGCACTAATGATTAAATGACCACAAAGAGTAGGCCAGATTATAGACCTGAAATATCTAAACAAATAGGTTTCCATTGGAGTTTATTGAAATTGGGCAGCTAATAAATTCAAACAAATGTCTGTTGCCCAGAGTATTAGGGAGACATCTCTTACACAGACAGCAGGTTTTGCTGGCAAATCTGAGTTGAATGACACAAGATTTGGGTACCTGGATATAATCCTTGTGACTTAACAGTTTCACAAATGACTGCTGGATTAGAACATAGTTGGTGCCACAGAGAAAGGAAGTTGAAAGGAAGTGTTTTCTCATGAGCAGTAAATGTACCACACAGCCCTCCTTGTATGAATAAAATGGAAGGGCTACCATAAATTGTGGTATCATCATCTGTTCATTTGTCCTGGGAAGTAAAAGCCTTATCAAAGGGCTGCTAATGTTTTCAGACCACCTCACCAGTGTATACACCTTGTTGCTATGGTTTATCACAAGACATATATTCGGATGGGTGGGGAACAAGATAAACCCTTCAGGGAAGAGCTGCAGAGGATTCCTGAAGGAAAAGATTAAAGGAGGAAAGCGCCAGCATCTGTGTGGAGGCTGCTCCTCATCTTCTGATGTTAGGGTGTGTGCAATCCAACTTGTTTAATGAAGCATGAACGGGCAATTGAAGGTGAGAAAGAGATGAGACAGGCGCAGCTGCTGCTTTCTGTTGAATGCGCGCTTCCTTATTCCCCGTGCTCCAATATGGCACTATTCGGGGGCTAAAGAGATTCCGGAATTCCTGGCCTTGAAGCGGGACAGGCTGTTGCTCGGGAGAAAAGCCCCCTTCAATCCTTTTTTTCTAGCCGGCGGTTAATCCCGTGGAAAGGAGAGGCTGCTATTGGCTGCGGATTTACTATTTGCTCTGCGCTCTCCTCTCCAAATAACGGCGGCACTTTCAGAGGCACCTTTTTTTTCTTCCCCCAAATAAGGGGAGCCGCCTCCCGCTCTCGGCTCCGCGGCCGGCGTTAACGCGCGCCCGGTCTCTGGAAGGTGCGAGGCGAAAGGTGCAAATTCCAGCCTACGGGAAAAAAAAAAAAGGCGGGAGCCGGAAAACTTGATTTTCCGGCCTTTTCCCAGCTACACGGCGAGAGGTTTCTCTGCACCCCTCAAGAATATGAGGAGAGGCGAGGGACGCGGCTTGGAACATAAAGGTCGGGGGATGACAGGGTGGCTTGTCGGATGAGGTGTGTGGGGCGTTCTTCGCTTTTGGCACAAACCGGCGAGCGAGCGAGCGCCGGCAGGCAGCGAGGCAGCTGTTGCCGAAGAAGCAAGCAGGCGGGCGGGCGGGCGAGTGAGCGTCTGCTCCCGCCCCGCGTGAATACGAGGTTGGGTTAAAATGTAGGCGCGCCAAGCCCACGGAGCGCAAAGCGCTGCTGCGTTGAGGGGGCAACCGCGGGCGAGGAGGGCTGGAAAAGAAACGCCTCGCAAGCCGGAGAGCAGACTCCAGAGACAGCAGGAGCCGCCAAAGGTTGCCGAGACAGGCGGTCGCCGGTTTTACAGTTGACGATGGGACTAGGCGGGAAGCTCGCGGGAGGGGAGGGCGGGGGCGATGGATGGAGGCCGTAGTCCCCTTCTGAGAGCCGGGGACGCCCACAACTGAGGAAGCCGAGGGACTCGCCGCAAGGTGTGCTTGGCGTCTCCCGAGACTCGAGGCTCCCATCGCGCCGGGACTGAACCGTCTTCATTCCCGCGCAGGGGGCGGGGGGGAAGCCTGTTTTCGCCGAACGCGAGTTTCGGCGTTCCTCTCTCAGCAGATGCCTACATCACGTCCGGATTTGGCTGCCGGGCTTTGCCTTTTTCTGCCGGCGGGGCTGCGGGGTTTTGCAAAAGTTGCCTTTCGCACCTCCTCCTCCTCCTCCTCCGGCCACCCGGGCTGCTTTCCACCATGTGCGCCAACGTCGTTTACGAATGGTTGAAGACCCTGAAACTCACCCAGTACGCCGAGTCTTTTGTGGATAACGGCTATGACGACCTGGAGGTGTGCAAACAAATCGGGGAGCCGGACCTGGATGCCATCGGGGTGTCGCTGCCCCAGCACAGGCGGCGTCTCCACGAAGCCGTGCGGAGGCTGAAGGAGGAAGACGAGACCACCGCCGGCCTCTACTTCACCTTGGAGCCGCAGCCCCCACGGCGGGGCTCGCCGGGACCCGACATCTACACCAGCCGCCTGGTGGAGACGCGCCAAGCCAAGACGTGGAAGGACCCACCTCGTCAGACGCCCCCGCCGGGTCACTCTCGGGGGGCGCCGCGGAAAATGGAACTCAACTCCAAGGAGTTGATCACTTACCCCAAACTCAGACTGAAAATCATGATTAGGGATAAACTCATCCGGGATGGGATCGCTCTCAGCAAGCCGCCTTATTCCAGCCAGGTAAGGTAGCTGCGCCTTAAAAGGCCTGTTGGCTTTGCTGGGTTTTCTCGCCGTCGTTGCTCCTGTTGTCCCTTCACTCTCCTGGTTGGATGGAGAACGCACTGCCAAGAGTGGACCTGTTTCGCTTTCCTCACCACCTTGACTTCATTTGCTCTTTAAGTTTGTTTGCAGTTAGGCAGCGGGGTTGGTTTTGGTGTCGTTTTCTTCTGTGTGGAGTCGAAAGAGTGATTGTGGATTCCAGTTTCAGCACAATCCATTTCTGATGTGAAAAATAGTTCAGCATGAGGAACATAGGTGGACGTCCTAAGTCTCATAGTGGCTCAGTTCCGCTTCATTGCCTTGCCTTTCCCTTGGAATATTCGGGGAAAGGAGATGGCAATATGGTGAAGCCAGTGGTGTCCCTTAATGCTTCAATTTGATTCTTGAGGGACCAAAGTGTTTCCGAACAAAGCTCTCCAAATTGCCGTAGCATAAGGTGGAAATGTTTATTTATTTATTTGTTGAGGTATGTGGAAGTAACTGGCACAATCCACAAAAACATATTGAATTAGGAGAAAAAAGTTAAATAATGCATGTTTCTTTACATATTACTTTAAAACTGGGAACTTGCACCCAGTTTCTGTACTTGCTTATTCACAAGTAAGTGGCGCTGCAGTGGAAGTGATTGCCAAGAAAGCACAGGTAATCACTCAAGTTTGTTCTTTTATGGACAAAAATACCTGCCTTAAGTGATCTGAAAAAGGCACTGTATCTACTGACAATCAGTGTCAAGCTCTGAAAATTTTTAAGGAAGTGTCAAGTATCTGCAAGTCTTCTTTTTACCGAATTCAATAATTGTCTTGGTTCTTAGACATTTTAAAATCCAGGCTTTTGTATAAGGAGCAGACAATTACAGAATGTTTAATAAACTCAGTAGCACCACATGAGAACTTCAGGTTAATTTATTTTCACTGCAGAATTGGTTTGTGTGAGTGACAGGTAAAATCATTATCACAATCTTGTATATCTAATGTAATCTATAATATAAGCTTCTCACAGATGGGCATTGCACTCACAAAATGTATTTCATAGTTGTCATGGATAATGGATATGACTAGGTAGCATACAGGAAAAAAAACAGTTCTAAATGCAAATAAATGAATGAATGGATGTGAAAATCTGAAGAAAAAACATAATGTCACTCTGTCAAATAGAGGTATGCAGTGCTATAAACTGATATGAAATGAAATGGTGTTAAGGAAGAGTTGTATTAGTTGTGAAATGTATGTCAGAATAATTCAGAAATAATTGTAAAAAATATGCACAGGCACACATATACAGAGCTCAGCCATGTGATCTTTAGGAATACAGTAGGACTACAACTAAGAATATTGTATACTACTACATTAAAAATGAATAAAATCTTTCCTTTCCTCCCAGTTTTAGACAGATCATAGCAACTTTCTGACAAGTCAAAGAGTAATAACAACCCATATTCAGGGTACCAGATGTCTAATATGAATGGGCAAATAATGGTGTGTAAACTCTCATATTCACTATAAATGAACCGTTTTCTGAAGCAATTTACCCGTGGTGTTAGTCATAGAACTTTTTTACGGATCTGTTTACAACCTGAGCCAGAAATAGAAAAGCTGCTCCTCTATTGATAATGAGGCCTGAAATTATTTTGAAACGCACAAACATAAAATATGACTCTTGATAATACCTTCTAATCTAATAGGACAACATAAACACGTTTTGCATTTTGAGTTTTACAATAAATATTTCTTTCATTGGTTTCTTTTCATGAGAAAAAACAATGACAGGTATATGGAAAATATTAGGAAATCAGCAAGTATTGTTGCTTAGATTTCTTTAAGGTACGATATCTTGTATTTTCCTATGGAGAATATTTAAAAATTAGATGCTCTGACCAACTTTGGCAAGGAATCGTTATAATACTGGTTCTGATGAACAATATAAAGAATAATTGACTTATATCTCAGGCTTCTGAACTTAAAATGGCTAAATGCCCTTAGTTATTTCATTAAGTTCCATAGCGTTTCACATTTCTGTATTTAACATTTCTAATAATTGAAAACTATTCATTTATCAATTCCTTTTGTAGTCAACTATTTAATTTTTACCCTGCCTTTATTTATAAATAACTCCAACATTCCTAATACTCCTTTCACCTTTAATGAAAACTATCCCAGAATTGGTATATAAAATCATTAAAAACATTTTTAAAAAAATGATAGACAAAAAAAATCATATTATAAATTTGAGTGTAATGATTACAGTGGGCCATTAATTAGTCATCAAGCATGTCAACAAAGTATGTAAATCTTAACCAGCGCTTAACCAAGTGCTGAATGAAAATCAAGTTAGTGCTTGGCACACTCTGTTTCAGATGCCAACAGACAGTGGTACTCAAATCACTACCAGATGTGCCAACCAGCATTAGGGCAAGTTGGGACTTCCACCCCTCCAGTTTTGCCACCAGGTATAACAACACAGGCAGATCAGATTTCCATGTCCTAAGGCTGAAATGACTTACATGAGAAATAGCTGTTGTATAAATGTGGAACTGATATTGATTTTCAGAGCTTGGCTAGGAATCCATTGATTTGAAAAGACATGAGAAAAATGGGTGAGGACTTAAATCCCTGAGTCTGTCTGCTCCCCCCCTTCCCCAACACACACAGAAAGAGTATGAGATTGTCAAATATACAGAGTATGTTTGGAAAGGAATTTCAGCTTGGCATGTATTGGATACAGACACAGACTGATTTTGTGACTGTAATCAAAATCATGATTCCTGGTGTTTTGATTCCAGCTAAATGCCCGCATTGCAAGCAGAGTTGGCTTATTTAAAGTAATGTTCCGATGACCATTTAGAATAGGATTTGATCTGTCCTTGTTCTTGCTCTATGAGTTCCCTTATTTGTTGTTGTTAAGAAAAAAGATGCTGTCTTACAAGATCCTGATCTCTGTAACTATTGGAGATCATTATCCTTTTCCCCTCATATTTGAACTCTTAGAGTGGCTGCCAAATTGGTCACCCTGAGTCGATAGTTCACGCCGGAAAGGGACATGGGGAATGTGACATGTAAGGTGCATCCATATATCTGCTTTGCTACGTTTTACTTCCATCTCAGAACTTTCAATATAAAACACAAGATGCCAAAAGGTGGTAATTGCCTATTTTCCCATGTTGAAATTTGAGTGTCACCAACCATGCAAAAAATTGCTGCTGATTGGTGTATAGAATGTGTGCTTGGGTAGCTTTTGGACGCTCCAGGTGCCTATCCCCCAAACCATTTTCTTCTGTTCTTTTCCAAGGAACTATTGACCTATCAAGCTAAAGATCACTAAATGGAAGCAAAGAGTTTTCTTCTCTTATCTGCACTGCAGTAGTTATCTAGATAATCCACAGCAGGGGTAATCCACAGTAGACATGGCAGGTCAATTTTAGTCAAACAGATTGGTGCCCCGGATTTTCCATCAATATACTATCCAGAGTATCTTGAATTTGTTAGCCCTACAAAGTAGTTCAGGCAAGAAGCATAACCAAGAGTCTTACTTCTATTAAAGAGCCCTGGTGGTGCATTAATTAGAATGTAGTATTACAGGCTAACTCTGCCGACTGCCAGCAGTTCGATCCTGACCGGCTCAAGGTGACTCAGCTTTCCATCCTTCTGAGGTCAATAAAATGAGGACCCAGATTGCTGGAGGAAATATGTAAACCACTTAAAGAGGGCTGTAAAGCACTATGGGGTGGTATATAAGTCTAAATGCTATTGCTATTACTATCTTTATCATAAGACCACATTAATAAAAATTTTCAAGACAAAGTATTTTCCAATAAGATCAAAACAGTTCATTACAGACTTGAAACAACTGTTTCAAACTTGAAATAAAGAACTTCAGATTTTAAAAAAAATATTTAATTTTTAAACACTTTGTAGACAAGTAGTTTGTACCATGTGTTAAATTGATTTACAATTTTATCAAATGCATGTTCCATCAATATTGAGGCCAGCAGTTGTGAGAAATGTACACAGGACTACGACATAATACTTTCTGAAGTCCTAGAAAGAGAGGCATGGAGAACTGTTTATTATTAGTCCTGATAAAAGTCTGAGGGCTGTACCTGAAGTTCCTGAAAGAGAATCACACCAAAAAATGTCAAGATTTATTCATGTATTTTATATCCCACCTTTATATATATATGTTTTACAAATAACTCAAGGTGAGATATCCTTGATACTCCTGTTCTTCCTATTTTCCCCACAACAACAACCATCTTGAGAGGTGGATTGGGCTGAGAGATGTGACTGATCATATGCCACTCAGGTGGATTTCATGGCTAAGGACTAGTACTCACTGTCTCCCGGTTTCTAGCCTGGTGCATTAACCACTAGACCTCTCCTCTCCTCTCCTCTCCTCTCCTCTCCTCTCCTCTCCTCTTGGGTTAAAACAGGAAACAATGGTTTATTCCATTGAATATTTGAAAGAAGCTGGCACTGAAAGAGTAAGCTGATGGATTTATTTGTGGAGAGCTTGTTTATCAGGAAAGCTGTGGATTGAGATCTCACTGAGTAAAGATTTGGACTCAGTAGCCTAAATAGCCATTTCCAACTGATGATCCCATGAATCAACCAGGATGAGGGAGCACAAATAGTGTACCCAGTATTTGGTTGCAACTTTTATTGTTATTTTCTTTATTGTTAATATTTAATTAGGCATTATGGCTTCAGGAATGAATCAATGCAACTAAAAGATTGTTTTTCTTCTTCTGGATGCCATATGCCAATAGGCAGATGTGGCAGGCATCTGTTTGTTTTTATAATAGTTTTCATAGTTGTGCACTGCTTTGAGTAAACTATAAAAGATTTCCAAACATATTAGATGAATAAGCTTTCTGTTTCAGGAATATTCAGGTAAAGTAAGAAGGAATAATGCTTCTAAAACCTATGTGAAAAATGTAAAAAATAACAGTGATAGATATAGGCATGGTTGACAAATGATTTTTACCAATCAACCATCACGGTATGATGAATGCAGTTTCATTTTAGCTCAAAGCACACTATTCCACACCATGTAAAAAAAAACAGCAGAGATGGGAATTTATACAGCTAATGAATACTGATTATATAGCCAATAAAGAATGGTTAAAATGGCTAACAAATTATTAAAAATGAATGGAAGTTGGAGTTTCTCAATGTAAAAAAAAATTAGGGTTGTACAACTATAGGATATGTCATGAGGAATTAGGCATTCTATTCATCTTACATATAGACTAATTAGTATCTGATAGTTTAGTGAAATTTAATTAGAGCTTCTAATTGAAATAAATGACCTGACCTGACCTTATCCATTCTTGAGAAACTTTATTTCATTTCCCGCCCTGTGAGAATTGTACACGGTATGAGCA